TATGTTTTAAGTACAGAAAAATTTTTAACAGAACATACCAGTATCAGTAATTTGTAGTGTATTTGGAAAGGAAACAATACACATCTGTAAAAAAAACAACAAAAAAACAACTAAAAAATATAATCTCTGTAACTTTCAGCTGTAGATCTAGATCTAGATCTAGATTCTAGATCTAGATCTGGGAAAGAAAAAAGAAAAATGTTTAAAAAAAAAATTTAAAAAAAGGACATCTGGACCTCTGATGCTGGCACATTACTAAAACCAGGAACACCTGTCAAACATGAAGCATCAGCAGACATGAGAACAAAAACTTTTGACGGATAGAAAAATTGAACATGCTCAAGGAACAAAATACCAAGATCTTCTACCAAGGGAAATAACCAACTTTTCACTTAAATAAGACTTATTACGGTGATTATTTCCCTTTAGTCACATGGCGAGGCGTTAATTAATCAAATTAAATGTTTTGTTTTAGAAAAAAGGAAAAAAACGTGAAAAAACGCGGGGAATCCAAAATTATGCAAATGTGCAGAATTACGCGAAAAAAACGCGGCCGCACAATCACATAATCCCACGGGGACAGGTCATGATCAAGGATGTGAAAAATGTGTTATGCTTAGGACTTCAGTGAGGTCCCTCTGACTTAACCCTATCCGTATGCCCTGGGGTCATTTTGTACCCCTGGGGTCATTTTGTACCCCTGGGGTTGAATTCTTCACATTTTAGAATACAGTGGAATCCTGTTATGACGAGGGGGAGGGGACCGGTGCCAAATGTCCGTTATAGCAGGTTTTCATTATAAGGGATGCGGTGATAAATTCAAGGGAAATAGTAAAGTAGGTCTAATCCATGAGTCTGGTTTTCGGTTTATTTCTTTTTGTAATCTCCCCTGATGATGATTTGGTGCAACATGACTAGTCTCACTTGATCAAAAGTCGAATCAAGTTTCTTTCTCTAGCGCTAGCGATATTGACAGTTCAGCTCTGGCGATCAGAAAGAAAGTTCACTAGGCTAACTCGTCCGCTGGGTTGTCCCCCACCCCACCACGCCCTGCAGTGCGTTCCGTCTGCTTGCGCACACTGATCACAGTACAGCACTATGACTTCTCCATCCCCGCATCAGAGAAGTGAGAGGCAGGGTAGGCCTAGATAATCTACACTAGGCTGGCTTATCACACGATGCATTCTGCTTGTCTGTGCATGCCACACTCTCCCCACTCATCATTCGCTCCGGCCTTTATTGTTGGCACACTTGGGCTCTCCCATTTTTTGTTTCGCTTGATCACCAAGTTTCTCAACTGGCGAGGTTTTCATGTATAAATGGCCTATGCGCTGTCCACAGCAGCAGCACTATTCCGCTATAACCGACTTGCGTGTTTGTCAGATTGTGTTTTAACAGTATTTTACAAAGATAAAGGGGAAAAAACGGGATTTTAGAATAGTATCTTTATAACAGACTTCTCGTAATTTCAAGACTCTTTATAAGTGGATCAGCACTCTCTTATAATTTTATGGAACTGTTGAAAATTTCTCAAATATTTGCTGTAAGGTTTCTTATTTCTGCTCTGCCCGAATAATTATTAGATGGAAATTATAGTTTAGTCAAACAGACATTGATTATGCGACACGAGCTGTAGAGCATCCTCAGCTCGAAGGTAGAGCTTCAACAGTTATACTAGTATAGTTGACTAAGGATGAGTTTATCGTCAGGGGAGTGAAAAACAGATCAACTTTTTCGAAGTTCAACTTAAACGTTTGGAATTGTAAAGAAGAAGAGGTGCTGGGGGGACCCGAGAAAAAGATTTTTAACTTAACCAAAGATCAATTCTAGTGAGTTCAACATCAGCAAGTCGACTGTACTACACATGAAGTGTTAACATTGCAAACAGGTTCTACTGTATGTTTTATTGATGAATCGGACGAGGATTTGACTTCTCATGTTCAAAAGACTAGACACATTTCACACCTCAATTAGTTATGATAGGATTCAAAATCAAGTGAAGATGGGACTCGGAATAAGGTGACGATGTCATTAGGTTGGTGAAGTTGATAATTATGAGTATGAGTCGCAGTGGTGCGGGGGTGTCCTTTTAATAGTGCTCTTTTAGAATAAAAACTATATTTCCAAACAAGTGCAGATGTAGTGCCTCCTTTGTTTCTTCTCACCTTATTAGTTGAGGGTTCTTCTAGCAGGTCCATGAAAAGGAAATAAATTTCCAGGCTTGCAAAAGATGTTTATCATTACAATTTGAGATTTTTCGCCCTTGTCCGAGAAGGCTAGGTGTAGATCTTTCCTACCAGAAGATCAGGGGTGTGGCAGAAGACAGCAGTAAGAAGGAGCCAAGGAGTAGCAGTAGAAAGGCTGCAGAAAGAGTCAGGAGCCCAGAGGAGGGGGCAAAGGAGGTGAGGGGGTGGGGGCAGAAAGTGGAAATGAAAACAGACAACAGAACATTGCTAGAGAGCAGGAAAGGAGACAAATTTAGAGAAGAAAATTTTTCGGTCGCTACCCGGATTCGAACCCGGGACCTTTTGTATGAGAGGCCAACACCTTAACTTCTAGGCCACGAGAGCCCCCTGTGTTGGGTGTTGCCTACCCTAAGATCAGAAAGACCGCAGTAAGAAGGAGCCAGGGAGTAAATGTAGCAGTAGAAAGGCTGCAGAAAGAGTCAAGAGCAGAGGAGGGGTGGGGTGGGGGGGGGGGGCGGCGGCCTAACTTTCCGGGAAACACGAGTGGCGGAAACAGGTAGCCCGAGTATCAGTTGAAAAAATATTTTCCAGGGACGGAGAACTTATATCATTGTCCGTGTCGAGTAAAGGGGGGGATCCCTCTGGTCTTTTTATGGCTAAGAAGTACGGCGAGTTCATGTAGTATCACTTGCAATTTTTCACTATTTAGTTTTTTTTTATGGAAACGACACTGAAGTATCAC